AGATTTCCATTACTGATAGTTCTTTCCAGTTAGCATTTTCAGTATTAAACTCTGTCATTATGAAGTTAAATATGCATGATCCCTAAATCTATGTGTATTATAACGAGATTTTATTGTTATAAATTTGTCTTCTTGGTCTTCCATTTCTGCCTGGGCTGTCTTTTTAAAACTAACGTCTGATAACTAGCCAGGAGGTAATTAGGAAGTGGTACTAAAAAATCACAGGCTTATTCTCTCACTCATTCACAGAAATTTACTGAGTGTCTACAATAAGATATGATCCCACCACCAGTGGGAAAAACAGTGGTGACAGCTAATTACAGCACTAAGGAGTTCTGACACTGGAAGCCCCCTACCACACTATATATGTATGATAAAATAATTTGAAATCAGTTGTATTTGAAAGGAAGTAGGGAGTGATTCCAGATTCCAAAAAGTAAGAGATGAAAGTGACAGTGGGGAGTGACAGCTGGAGGGGAATAGAAGCTGAATCATATCACCAAGTCTGGGGCACTGCCCTCCAAGCAGAGGCAGTTAGGAGATCCACCACCTTGTGGGTGGCACAGAACAGAAATGGGGTCTTTTCTGCAGCCTGGTGACTGGAAGGGCTGACAAACCCTATCTACCAGCTGGGTGAGGGACAATAGATGGAAGCAGCACTAACATTTGGAGTGGAAAAGCAATGTGTAAATGATCACAATCCAAGCTGTGTCAAGCATAGAGCTGGGGCTCAAATTCTCACCACAGTGTAAAAACCACCAACATAAAAATCAATCCACAAATTGGCCCGAACTCAGTGCAAACCAATAGGACCACATAGAGGTAAGCCCATATCCAGAGGCATGCTTCCACAACCAGAATACCCTGGACCCCCAGGGGAAAGAGCTCCCACTGAAGATGAGCTTGCAGGGAGAGATTACAAAGCACATAAGGAAATAAACCATCAGAAGAGTAAGTGTCAGATTCCACATGGTCCCAGGCTCAACCACAGGTGTAGAGCCCAGATTTACCTAAAACCTACCATTCTCCCCATTCACTTGCCATCAGGTCCCCAACTCTAATTCCGAAAGCGCTGAAAACCCTTGTCTCTTCTTCCCAATTCAACATATTCATCCCCCAGGATCTGTGTGTGTGTGGGGGGGTGTCCAGCATCAGCCCCACACTCTGTAGATCCCAAAATTCATGTATGCTCAAATCCATCCTATAAAGTAGTATATGGGGGGGGACAAGTTATATCACGTACAGGTATAAATTCTCTATGATGAATGTGATCATGATGTAAAACTAGCATAATATTTGCATATAATTTATGCAGATCTTCCTGTATACTACTTTAAATCTCTCTAGGTTACTTAAAACACCTAAAACAGTGTAAATGCTTTGTAAATTGTTCTAATGCTGAATGGTGCAGGGAATAATAACAAAAGTGTGTGCAAGGTCAGCATGAACGGATTTTTTCTGTATATTTTCAGTGTGTAATTGGTTGAATCTATGGGTGCACAACCTGTGAAGATGGAGGACCAACTGTGTACACACGTTCATATGTAATGTGTACAAATTACTTCTCCTTTAATATGCACATCACATTAATATACTCAGAGAAGCTCACATAGTTCCCACTAGCCAGAGGTGACTCAAACAGAAGGGGCTTCTGCCACCTCCTCCCTTGGCTTTGGGAAGGGTTGAATCTCCAAGCATGGTTTGGGGTCTAAATCTTGTGGACCTTTAAGATACTAAGCCATAAAGAAGGATAAATTTAGTTATTTGTTGAAAAATGGATGGATCCTGAGACTACAACAAGTGAAATAAGTCAGCCACGAAGGGTTAAATACTGCGTGGTTTCTCCGAGAGACCCAAAATACAAATAATGGAAAGAGCAAAGTAAGAGCCATGCTATGAGACAGGGAGGTGGGCTCTGTGGAGATGGGAAGGGGACCAGGGGAGGGGTAATAAAAATGATCAAGATGTGATGTGTGTAAGTATGAAACCCCCAAGCTGAATGCAATCATGGTGTATTACAAATATGTACTAATAAAAAATTAAAAGCATTTTTAGAATAGAGACCCTTTTTTCTTTTTCTCATACACTAATGTTATTCAACAGACTGTCATGCACAGCTATAGGTGACCTGCTAAGTGAGCTATTCCAGGCTACTAATGTTTAGCAATCAAACTCAGTGATCAGAGTGAACTGAGAACTCTAATTCATTATCCACCAAAAATCTTGGTGGCCAGGCAATGTTTGGCCACACTCACTGCTGGGCATGTCCAGGCCGGGAGGGCCCCTTGGACCACAGCAGGTTGGTGTCCTCTCAGGTACTGTCGACCTCACCTTGAGCTCTTGGAGGCTTGGAGTTGCTGCTGTGCTTGCTTTATAGTTGCTTCTGCTTTTGCTGCATTACCCAAGGGCAGTGAGGATGGTAGAGAGAAGGCTTCAGATAGCTCCACACAGTTGTAGTGATTCCTTCATCAGTTTTTAACCTCCATTTTTCACCCAAACGGCTTTAGTACGCATGCTCTGTAGCTCACACAAGAGCCATCCATTCCTCCATTAGCAGGTGATGCTCCACATCCCTCACTGTGACCCTTCTCATTATTCTCTCCAAAGTCCTTCACTGGAAAAAGGGAGCTCACCAGCCGGAGGTGACCCAAAGGTAAGGTGCTAAGCATTAACTCTCCTACCACATGGAGATGTTGGAAGGGACATGTTTGTCCTCCTGGGACGGAGGCCTCCATCCCTCCTCCCCACTCCCTAAGTGTCCAAGACAGAATTTAGGGCATCTGCATTTTGGGCCTTTATAGGGGTAGTACTATGAAAGACACTTCATCTTGGACAAGAAACTGTTTATCCACTAATTATTTCAGAAAACTTCCACTGACAGCTCACTGTGCCTGGCTCAGGGATACGGGTAAAGAAAGGCAAGAGAAACCTTCCTTGCCACCTGGGTACTCAAGACAGTCACAAATACAGAGGGCGAGAAGGCAAACGAGAAGGCAAACCAGGCTCTGAGTTATTCTAGCTCAGTACTTGCTTCAAGTTCTTAGGGGAAAGGTTGTTGGCAAATAAGTCTTCCCTGTTTTCTCTATGTAAAGCTAGTTTAAATCTGGTGGACACATAGCTTAAGGAGGCTTCAGAATGTCCTCTATAGATGGCTTTACCTCCTCTCCTTTTCCCAGTGCAGAGTGGGATATTCCCAAACAAAGGGGTACATGCATACTCGAGAAGGTGATGGGATGTTTGCATAAATAAAGTACAATACCAGAGGAGATGTACACAGTGAATCTTTACTTTCCAAGGCTACCCTAGTCCTTAGAAATGGATTTTATTATGAGCTTGAACTGCATCACCCAAGGGCTCTTTGGATGAAGGGGTTAGACACCTGCTTAGAATCCAATGGTCACTGTGGTGAGCTTATTATAAAACAGCTTCCTGTGATCCCTCCCTCCCTGGCCTTCACTCATCTGAATGATGCCCTTGCCTATGGGCTACACATGGAGACAGCTTCTATCCCTTTGACTATGGCAAAAATGACAGGAGGTAACTTGTGAGACCTGGTACGGTCATTTCGTCTTGACCCTGGTGCTCCAGTCTCCTTGGTCACTTTGGTGAGAAGTCACTGCAGTGTTCGAGAGGCCCACAGAGCAAGGGACAGGGGGCAGCCTGGTTCAACAGCCTGCAAGGAGCCAAAGCTGACCCACAACCCAGTGAACCTGGAACAGACCTGACCCCAGTGGAGCAGGCTGTAGCCCTGGCCCATACGCCGCTTGCAGCCGTGCACAACTCTCTGGGGCAGAGGACCAGTTAAGCTGGACCTGGACTCCTGACCCACAGAACCTGAGGTAGTCAATGTGCTTGCTTGCAGTGGCTAAGCTGTGGGTTATTTAAGTGGTGATAGATGATGAAGACAGTGCCTGAACTGCATGTGGAGGACTTACCTTGGAGAAGAGGCATGGGCATATTTTGGAAATTTTTCAACAATACAGATTATTTCTTCTCTTAAGCCCTACTTAACCACTTACCAGTCCAATTATTTAAATACAGGATGACTAGAAATTGCATTTTTCATTGCTTTTTATAAGATAATATAATAGGAAATATAAAAATGACAATTTTATCAAATTTATTCTATACATGACTAGTTGAAATGACACCTGCCCGAGCGATGTTCGGGATAGTCCATATGTAAACAAACGCACTGCCCAGGTGATGCTTGGGGTAAACTGTTAAGTGGTTAATAAAAGTGGGCAACCACTGTAACCAGTTCCCAGGCCAAACCAGTAAACTGCGGCTTTATTAGAGTAAGAAACTCCTATGCTAATGCCGGAGACCGCCTGGCCCTTTATCCCATCCCCACACTTATCTCATTCTTGTCACTTTCTGAAGCAGTTCTAGAGTAAGTGTCTTCAGTTGCACTGTTGTGGCTGCCTCGATGTAAAATGTTTACCTTTCAGGGCCATTCTCACTTTGGAAAACAACCAGAAGTCACATAGTGCCAGACACAGTGAAAAAGGTGGATGAGGGCACACAGTAATGGTCCTATGAATCTGCCTTTAAGTTGAATGACACTTGGCAACAGCATTCACCATATTTTTGATCATCCCCTCCTAAAGAAATTCATGAAAGGGGACTTCCAGAACTGTTTCAGAGCGTGGCGAGAGAGACAAGATAAGTGTGTTCAAAGCAAAGGGGGAGTATTTTGAAGGGGATTAATGGCAACGTGTCTTTTACAGTAAGAATTTTTAAAATTTAAACATAACATTGTATATTTTGATCAGTGCTTGTATCATCACTAAAAACTACTCTTCTGGTCCTACCTGCCATGGAACACAGCAAGAAATCGTGGGCCAGGCGAACCTAGGATTAGATCACAGGTCTGTGTCCCATCTGTCTGTCTTCTCCTTTGTCGGCTCTGCCGCAAAGCATCCCCAACCCTGCCCACAGTCAATGGAGAAGTCAGCTTAGCCCTGAGCAGGCACAGGAAGAAACAGTGTGAGAGATACTCAAGGACAACTTCTCAGGGTAACTTTATTTGTTCTGAAAACCACTTCCATTCTGTATCTCCAATTTCGTCCTAGCCTGGTGACAAGGAAAGCTTCCTGCTCTGACCTCTTTTGTAAGAAAGGAACAGCAAGCACTTCCCATTAGATCTTTGTCTCCAGGTGCATGTCAGGGGAAGACTGGGTCAGGACGGATCTTCAGAGCACTACGCACATGAGGAGTTTGCCGCTGAGCCCAGCTGGCTTGCGACCTTCTCTTGCCTCCTCCCTGAGACAGCAGCTCCTGTCCTGGGAGATTCTGCTTCTCCTCCAGCCAGGGCATCTGGTACAGCTGCAGGCTGTTCTCAGCCTGGTTTCCAGTCTGTTCTGGTCCAGGGAAGCGTGGTTCCCCAGCTGGATCCACCCAGCGTCCTCAGGAGCTCACTATCTCCCAGTGCTGGCTCATGAGCGAGGACTCACATGGGTTGACAACCACCTCCTTGCCGTCCTCAGTGCTGTCACCAAACATGTCCGTGTCTAGGCAGAGGTGGGAGGCTATGTGCTCGATGCGGGAACCCGTCTTGCTCCATTGCTGAGAACATGGAGGAGAGAGAGAATGAGCCTGTTCTCTCAGGCTGAGGCCGGGCATCCTATCAATATCCAGATTTCCAGCATCATCAAGAGGTTGACACCACAGGTCCAGGGGTCAGCCAGAGTCTTGATTTCCTGGTCTCATGGATAAATGAAATTACAACTAATTGTGCTGCCTGGTATCATTGCTGGTTTTCTTCTTTAAAAAATTGAGTTAAAAAAAAACCCTTAAAAACAAAATCAATATGTTTGCTGGGAAAACTCATTAGGAGGCAATAACTTTCCAAGCAATAGGCCAGGAAATGTAAAGCAAGTTGGTCACAGGAGCAGCAAAGAAATGCCCTAAACCCCCCGTGTCCATGGTGACAGGACGTGGGGGAGAAAGGAGGGGGCTTCGAGGGCCCGAGCTGGAGTGGCAGGGCCTGCTTCAAAGTGCAGCTGCACATGGGTCACGCCCGATAGGGCATCTTCCACACTGTTTCCCTGACTTCCCCTTGAATGAAGAAAAGAGAGGATGGACAGGTACGGGGGAGCCAAGATGGGCCAGGCAATGCGGTCTGTGCTTCATAGCAACCGTTTCAATTAACTGACCTGCGCAATAGGCATCACAAGCCCCCTTCACAGAGGAGAAAAGGGAATCTCAGAGAGGTTCAGTACCCTTCCATGGATCACACAGCCAGTGAGCCACAAAACAGGCCCTTGAGCCTCAGTCTCTTATGCCAGTATATGGTGGGCAGGAAACCAGGAAGAGCCAACACCCTGCTGCTACTTGCTGCTAGATGTACCATAGGACCTCTGGTGCATCTAGAACATTATGAATTTGGGAGACACACAGCCAGAGCCCAAAGCCCTGAAGGCCAAGGGTCAAATCTTGTTCATTCTTGTGGTCCTAAGATCATTACCTGGGATCCCAGAGAAGGATGGAGCCATGAGGGCCAATACCAGATATGCAGGCCTGGTGAAGTCAGCTGAGGTCAACAGACTTTCCCACGTGAGCTGAGCAGAGGAGGCAACGTGGCATTGCCGCTGGCACCATGGAGACTATCCTAAGTGGCATCCCCTCTCCTGACTGAAAGGACTTTCTTTTTACCAACCCTTCCTCTTGCAACAGCTCTTCTCTCACCCTGCCCATGGGGCTCAGTTCTACCCAGGACACATTATGCACGGCGGCCATACCCCAGAACTGTCCGCTGCTTACCTGTCTCTCATCTCCATTCTTGCAAAGAACGAGGACCACCGGGGCGCCAGGGAACAAGGTGACGACTGACAGGCACAGCTCCTCCTGGATGATCTGCTGGGTGTAGGTGAAGGCCCACCCCTGGGGGAGAGACCAGGAAGGTACGCTCAGGACTGAGGAAGCCACCACTCACAGGATGCCACTGTGCCTCTGTGTGACCATCAGGACAGCTGGTAAGAAGCACCAGATGTCCCAGCAGGCACTGACCGTCAACAAGGTCACCTTGGAAAATGCTAGTCAAGGGCCTCACCACAAGAAGTTACACTCCCCTGAGAGTCTCTGCCCCTGTACCCTGGGTCTGGGCCGTGTGGATGGTTCCCTGGAGGTGAACAATTCTGGGTTTTGAGCAACAGCCTGAACAACAGCCGGCTGAACTGTCTGGTATCTAGCGTCTTTGTCCGGAGACAATGTCTTGAGAGGAACCTGCTCCCCTTACTTGCCACCTGCTTGAGATAGTGAGCTTGCTCAAGCAGACCCAACAGGTCGACCCCCCAGCTCAGGCTGTCTCCAGACTGTCTCCCTCTTCTTTACAGGGAGTCCAAATCAGTGTCTACAGCACATGAGAACTATGACAAGAAGTAGAGTGAGGGGCAAGGGAATGAAGAAGTGCTCTCAGGGAGAGGCTGGGAGGGAAAGAAATCCAGTTATTTTAAGGGATGCACACGCTCCGATATGTCACTATAGTTGACAATGTGGCCCTGAACTTCTGCAGGGAAAGATGCCAAGGAATCAGCTCCACGAGCAGAATTCTGGTGGTGTAAGGAACAGGGGCGTTCCGTGAGGTCATCGCAGGAATGGTCCTCACACATTCCATCCAAAGTGTCAAAAATTATAGAGCAACTGCTCCCAAAGCCAGAAGCACTCCCCAGGTCCCAAGTCAGGGGGCAGCAAGCCCCGGCATCACAGCTGTCAGTGTGTGGTCCACGAAGAGGTCTTTCCCAAGTTGATCACAGGAAGGCCTCTTCCCTTCCTTTTGTGGTGGGGCAAAGATGGTTCCTAAGTTGGAGCTTGAGACAAGCTGTGGAGGAGCCTGGGAAGGGCTGTATTTGTCCTCCACCACACCCCTGCTGACCCACTGACCCTCAGCCCAGGACCAGCCACTCGGGCTACTTCTCCTTGGCCCAAGAATGAATAATGAGCCCCTCAGAAGAGACACCCCTACTCCAGGACCAAGCGTCTCCTAAATGTACTCATCTGACCCTCATTCTGCACCTTCCCTGTCTGCCTCCTGGCCCTGGGTCCTCTCCTGACCTCCACGGTGTGCCAGCATCATCAGTATCTTTCTGGGACCTGGCTTGTTCCTTCTGTCCAATAGACTCTGGCCCTCCTGCTGTCCTGGCCACACAGCTCATCTTCCCCCAAACTGGTTCCACCAGCTGGACAGTGACCACTGCTCCTCCTGGTCTGGAACCTTCCCTGTCCCTCACCTCTTGATGGGGCCACCAGCTCAGTGGGAGCCACTGTCCCTTAAAGACAGCTCCTGCTGGCTGATTCTTTCAGTCCCTGTTCAGATTGCTGGTGCTGGGAGAAGACCTACACTTGAAAGTACTGTCCGGGGAGTGGACCAACAAATCTCTCTGAGTTGATGTTTCTTGCAACACGGATGAGAGTTTTCTGTATAATTCCATCTAATTCCACATCTACCTATATCTGAGACTCTCTATAATGAAATACTCACAGAATATAGTCCTTGGAACACATTAACAAGCTTTCTTTTTTGGCCTTGTGAATATCATCACCCAGATAAGCTGAGGGGGAAGAAGTCTGCAAACACAGAGGTGATTCAATGACTTTGATGTGGCTAATAATGGCCAATATTTATTGAGCACTTATTATGTGCCAGACACTGTTCTGAGATCTTTTTTTTTTTTTTTTTTTTTTTTGGTTTTTCTCCGGTACCGGGAACCGAACTCACGACCTTGCGCTTGCCAGGCAGGCGCTTTGCCACTGAGCTAAATCCCTAGCCCCCTGTTCTGAGATCTTGAACAACTAATCTTCCCATGAATCCTATTAAGAAAGTGTTATTATGGTCCCCATTTCACAGATGGTGAAAGCAAGGCTTAGAGAGGTTATTCAAAGTCATGAACTAGGAGTGGTCCCAACACCAGGTCTCTCCCACAGCTCTGCCATTGCTGATGCTAGCTGAATCATGGCGGGCTCTGGAGCTCTTTCAGACAAATTTAGTCACAGGAGATAAAACCTGTCCCTGAGATTCCTCTTCAAAGTTGTAACTATTAAAACTGTAGATCAGTTCCACCTTAACTGGATCCAGCTGGCAAGAGTTTTTGTAGCCAGTTCCTAGTGAAAATTCCTTTGAAAGGCAAACAAAGGTTGCACCCCACTTCAGAGTGTGGGGTGGACGAGGCAGGGAGTAGTCCATCCCTAGCATTTATGCTATTAGGGCAAGAGGGTGAATAGAGAGAGGACCATGCTCCACAGATCCCACTCCCAGCCACAAAGGCCTTCACAATGCTGGCTTCTAGCCTGTCCCCGTGGAGCCAAGTGTCTTTCTTCTCCTCAGGGGTCCCCTGGGGGCCAGGAGTATGTATTAGTGACATGGTTCACCCAGAGAACAAAGGCATGAGGTCCACCCAGGTCCTGAAATCAGGCTTGGGCTACTTGGTGGCGGGTGGGGTTGAGGGGCGGCCTGGTCTCCTGAGATATGTGGAGTGTGATCTAGAAGTGGCACCCTGCACTTGAGCCCGGAATATTCCCCGGCTTGTAGGGAGTAAGGAAAAGGGCTCAAGGGACAGGCCTAAGGACAGGGCCGCTGAGGGCTGTTTGTCTAGACCCACAGGACAACTGAGCTCAAATTTAGGCTTTTGCCATCCTCAGGAAAGAAGGCTGAACAGTCAGTGATGAGAGAAAAAGAATGAGGCTTTTTTCTTTCTTCCTTTACCTGTAGTATGGCCTATAGGGAAGCATGAATTAGTTATTTAAAAAATAAAGCCTGTCATTATCTTATGACCACCACAATATAATGGCATTATATTTTATGTTAACAGCATTAACAGATGAAACACAAAAACTTAAAATACAGAGTTTCTCAAAGCCTGTTTTGACATTTCTTTTTAAATAGCCTAAGTGCCTGGAAGTGCTGGCCATGGATTGTCCTGGTATCTGAGACCCCAATTCCCAAATGGTTCACCCCAAGTGAGCTCACCCCAGGCTGGGGTCTGAGGGAGCTACCCAAAGACCCCCATGAGGCGTGGGAACAGACAGGGATAGAAGCCCGTACACTAGTGGACCTTCCACTAGTTGGTACGTTGCTGGCATTTCAAGCGTTCAATTACCCAGAGGGCTGCTGACCTCTGGCTACATCTGGGAGGGGAGAGGAGAGAGAAGGACTGGGGAGGAGATGGAAGGGAAGGTCTGGCCTGCTGTGCCTCCATCTGGAGACTGGCCAAAGTCTGGCCCATAACTGGAAACCCTCCTCATCCCCAAAGCACACACCAAGACCATTCTACAGGCTGGTGCAGGTAGTGTTGGCTCCCTGTGGGGACAGGTTAGTCAGGGGCCAAGGAAGACAAGGGTCCAATCCTGACCCTCCAGCCACTTTACCAGTCCCTTGGAGAAGGGAAACTGGCCACCCATGCTTAAAGGATATCTCCAGAGATAGTCACTATTATCCCCAACCATTCAACTTCCAGAGAGTGGGGGTGGGGGGCAGTCATGTCTCTCCTGGAAGTATCCCTTTGACCACAACTACAAAAGCCAGGATGGGAGGCAAAGGAGCCGCAGTGCATAGCCTGGGCCTTACTGTCTTACACTGGATGGAAAAGCAGTGGGAAATAGTTTCTTAAGAGGCAATCAACTAAGACAGGCAGGGGTGAGGACGAGAGCAGGCAGAGGGTGGTCTGGGAGCGCCCTCCTCTAGTGGGCAGGAAACATCAGCCTAGAGCAGTGGAGATATTTTGCCCCCAAACCACACCCAGGGGTCATGTGGCTGTGCCACTATCATGACTGCTACAGCTGGCATCTGATAGATGGCGCTGGAGCCACTAAGCATCCTACACTGCATAGGACAGAGAATGACCTGGTCCTAATGTCACTAGTGCTGAGGCTGAGAAACCCCAGGCTAGTCTTCAAGATTAGGCTGTGCAGGCAACAGGCCTGGATCTAAAGCCTGCCCTGGGATCAATCACGAACAAACTAGTAGCTCCATTTGCCAAGAGGGGATCATACCAAGACACAGTCCTGCATGGGGTTACTGCAAGCAAGAAAATGCCTGCTGAGCTCTCTGCCCAGACCCTGGCCCTGCCTGAAAGTAAGTGCTCAACCAGTAGTCACAGAAATGTTAATCCACGCCATTTACCTATGAGGTCCAAGTTCAAAATTCCTTATTAAACAACTGAAAAGAAAAACATCAAAGCAAGGTATCATTGTTGGTTTTGTTGTGCTACAGGCCCAATGTCACCCTGCTGAAAAGGGTTCTTTCAAGGGCCAGGTCAAAGCCTGTCCCCACAGGGAGCCAAAACTACCTGTACCAGCCTGTAGGATGGTCTTTGTGTGTGCTTTTGGGATGAGGAGGGATGCCAGTCATGGGCTAGACTTTGACCTGTTCTAGGCAGTTCCCATTCATGGTCCGTTTAATCCTTATAAGCCCTGGGAGGAAGGTATCATTCTAGGCAAGAGAAGACTGCAGATCAAAGGAGTCAGTGGTTACTCTGGGCAAATCAGGAGCACCTCTAGTTCTGACTGTGTGCGTGAGCCCTCGTTGGTGAGAAGGGAGCTGACTACATGTGACCGTCAGCTGGCCTCCAGCCTAGGAGGTCACACCAGGCAACTCACTGGTTTACAGAACTTGCCTTTGAAGCTCTCTTCACAAAGGGTGTTTGGAATGAATGAGGCCAGATTCTATGGGGTCTTTCATGCAGTAACCTCTCAGCACACCTGGACCTCTGAAGGATCAGCTGCGTGATCAGTATCAACTGTCACAAGACTGCAGTGCACCAACTCGCTATGCTGGGTCTCTTTCTCAGGTGCACAGACATGGACCTCAAGCCCAGCCTGGCAGAGCAGAGGCAAGCCCAGAGGCAGCAGAGGGACCTAGAAGGGTAACACACAGGGACCTTCACTGGACTCACATTTGGGGTCTTTTATTTCCTAACCATCCTATCCTTTACTCCTATATTGTAAGAATAAATGTATCTGTGGGATTAACACCCCATATCCAGTACATTCTGTGTTCATTATGGGGCTGAGTTCTGGATACCTGCTTAATAACCTTGTGAACTTGGACAAGTTATTCAATTATGTACCTCAGTGACCTCAAATGCAAAATGAAGACACTGTCAGTCCCTGTGGCAGGGGGTAACTATTCAAAATAAATGGGATAATACACTTATGTGGCAGAATCACATTTTCCACTTAGCAATCAGTAGGTTATTGTCTGCTACGCTGACAGCAGTGAGTAGAGGAAGCCAGAAGGAAGACAAACAGCCCTACAGCCCCGCCTTCAGAAGCTGCCTAGGACACGTGCTTGTGAGGGGCTATCCCCAAGGCCAGGCGGAGAAGGCATGGGAAGGAAAGGGCACAGGTGCAGAAGTGGTAAAGTGACAGGTGACTCTGCATACAGTCTCCCTGCCCCCAGAGGTGTCCCCCACACAGGTGTCACGCTCATCTGCTCACAGGCTTCCCACTGCCTGCCTATATGCTCCGCAGGTGACAGGGAGCCTAGGGAGCTGGGGACATGGGTGAAAGACACATTAGATATCATTTTCCTTTATGTTTTTCCTTTTCTTTAAGTTGGGGTAAAAGCTAAAGTAGGACTTCTGCCTTCTTTTTCTAGAGAATCTAGTAAAGTTCAGAGGAATCTTGTTAACCTGGAGACTTCCAGGGTCTCAAATTTTCAAATGCATGATGTATTTACCTTGCATCTCCCCGCACACCCGTCTGCCAACAACTCTGATACACACTCGAATCCAACATTTTGGCCCCGAGATTGACAAAGCAGCAGGAAGGGAGGTGGTACAGGGTAAGGGATGGATGGCCTGAGCTGGAACTGAGATGTGAGCCATGGTCAGAGCTGGAGGATAAAAGTCTCTTTGAAGCAATGAGGGTGCCCCAGTGCTGAGGGCTCGCCCACCTGGCAAGTGAGTAGGAGATGATGGAGTAGGACTTGGAGATCCCGGTTCCAAATCCCTCTAGTTCAAGGCCGCAGGATCCACTGCTCAATGGCCTCAGCCCAATTTCAAGTCCTGCATGGATGTCACACCAGGGTTTGTGTTCTGAAGGTAGACTTTGTCCTCAGTACACAACTCTCAGCCCAAGGGTGACTTTGTAGAGGGCATGACCATCCTTGCACATGCAGGCTGGGATTCTGGGTGAAAGGCAGAGCCAAGGGTGGGAGGAAAAGGGGGAAGCCAATGCTGGGACTGTCCTTGTGGCCTGGGGTAAAGTCCATGGAGTATAGGCCCCCTTTCACACTCTTGTCCTGATTCCTAGAAATGTTAGGCGGGAAGGGACTACTCTCTGGGTGGCCCACCCTAGACCCTGACATGGAGTGGGATCACTGACTGCTTATAGAGGTTGTCATTGTTGTTGTTAAAAACTGGTTACAAAGAAGATTCTCTTACCAGCTGTAATGGTTGATTGATTGCATCAACTTGAGTTAGAGAAGCTCAACTAAATTGGCTCAGCAGTTCCACACCCTCAGATGTGGAAGACCCAACCTAGGATGGTATAAAAGGGAAATGAAGAACAACAGATAGACCTCTGTTTCTTCAGAGGAGCTCGTTTTTGCCTTCACCTTGGACATCATCTCCTGGCTTCTAGCACTGACCCTTCAGCTTTCAGTGCAGATCCTTCAGCCTTCCATTGCAGACTCATTGGCCTCTTGATACGGACTCACACAGGACACTGCCCTGAGCTCCAGACCTTTGGCTGGATCCTTTGGTCTCCAGTGTACAGAAGACCTCTGCACTCTTCCTCATCTGACTCTGTGGGCGGCCATTAGAAGCCAATCTTGTAAATTTTTGTATATTTGTACAGTTTGTATTATGTCTGTTTCTCTAGTAAACACTGACTGATACACCAGCTGCCTTCTGTCAAAGTGGAGCTGATCAGTAGGAATCTCAGGGATGGGCATTTTCTCCCACGATTATACTTGCCCAAAAGAAGAGAAAGGGAATATAAATCAGTCCTACAAGGGTGTGTAGGACCTACACACATAAACACAACAGGGGAGACAACTTCAGGGGAAATGATTATGTGGATTTCTTGCAGTCTAAAGTGGGTTTAACATCACCAGAGTATTTGAGAATGGAACTTAGTCCAGCTGCTAGGCCATGGGCTCCTAAGAGCCCTGTCCAGGGCCCACCCCTCTCTGAGCCCCACAAAGCCTGTGGCTCCGTCCCTCTCACTTCCCTATGCAGCCAAAGACAGCAAGTTCCAGAAAAGCCCCTGCTTTCCTGAGGAAAGACCAAGCAAACTGCCGACCTAGGGAAGGGGCAGACGCATTGTATTGTGGCTGTTGGGATCTGCACAAGCACAGCCCACGAAGACTCAAGAAGAGGAATGACTGTCACCTGCACCACACTTTACAAAATGCCACTTCAGCTACTCTCAGCCAAGTGGCCACACCTAAGCCAAAATCTTTTCTGGTCTGGCACAAGTGAACCACTTTCCTCTCCTAGTGGAGCAGAGATGGTCCCTGGCAAAGTCACAGCAAGCCACAGCCAGGTTGGGAGACGCCTTCAAGTGCCAGTTCCAAGAGTCTGGATTTTGGTAGAGATCAATAGAGAGCCACTGAAGGTAGTGTTGAGATTGGGAACAACAGTTGAGGGCCCACATGTGAGAGATGGAAGTGAAGGGTAGAAATAAGAGGCAGGAGGAACTGGAAGCTCTTGATATAAGCTAGTGTAGTGGTTCCTAGCAGGGCCAGTTGTGTCTCCCCAGGGGCATTTGGTGATGTTGGGAGACATTTTTGATTGCTATAACTTGTGTGTGCAGCTGATGCTACTGGCCTCTGTGGACAGAGCCCAGGTACAGCTAGACAGCCACCCACAACAAGGAAATATCTATCTCCAAAAGTCAAGACAGCCAAGGCTAAGAAGTGTGTTCCTAGCAGGAAGCAGTGAGGTAGGGTTGGAGAAGAGCTCTTCTGAGGGAAACCATGATGGGTATATAGATATGAGCATTGCAGGCATGGGTGAAGCCCAGGCACCCAGGGGAAGGTGCTCAGGTGGATAGCAGCAGTGTGATGAGGAAGTGACCAGGGTGCCTACCAGGTACTTGAGGCCATCTGTTGACTTGAATCATAGATAAATTTGAGTCACTCAGTTGCCCGGCACTTGGGAGAACCTGGGTGCTTTTCACAATGACCCTGAGATCCCTCAAGCCTTCTCCTGGCACCTCATAGTATCCCCCTCCTGAGGATAAAACTCGGCCTCCTCCATGCAGGAAGAGATCAGTATTTGGCTCCTGTTTCTCTCCAGCCTCAAGCCCCACTGCACCCTCACATTCCACCCCTTGGACCCAACTTACCTAGCAGCCAGGTTTCAGCATATGCTGCATTTCCTGAGCCACCCTCTCTCCCTCTCCTGACCAGGCCTATTTCTACTCTTCTCTCAGGATGCAGCTCATTTTCAAGCCCTCTGGGACAACTTCCCTGATCGTTGCAACTTGGATACCACCTCTCTGTGCTCCTACCGTACCCAGACATTACACTACAGTGGCTGCCTAGTCTCTTGTTCCGTGTCAGGTCCCCCGAAGGGTCCATAAGGCCCCCAATTTAGTCTTTCATCTCTACATCCTTGCAGTTGGCTGAAAAGTGCTCGCTAAATGCATGAATGAATGAATTCATGAAGAGATGAAGACAACGAATTTGTGAAGCAATAAATAGGGGGTTTTCAAAGCTGGAAATACAGATAAAATCTCCAAGAAAGTTTATAGAGAAAAGAACAGTGACCTGAGAACTGTGGCAAACACCTGTTATGAGAGCACAAAGGGGAAGAGAGCCAAGAAATCAGACAGGAGGAACAGGGTTGCAGGCAAATGGGGACCCTACAGAGTCCCAAGAGCCAGGAGGGACAGCATGCGATGGATGTGCTTGGCTGAGTGCTATGCAGGTCAAGACAGGTTGTGACTTTGTCAGTGGCCTTGAAAACAGCAGGTCAATCTTCGGAAGGAAAAATACAGTCCTGCAAAAATGGGGGTGTGCTCTGTTGAGGAATCAGGTAAGGTATAAGGAAGTCTTTTTGTGAAGGGGCCACAGTGGTCCTGTGGGCTTGGGGTAAGCAAGAGAGGCAGAGGTGGAGCCAGGGGCCCAGGGCAGGAGCTGGGGAGTGGGTGGGCAATAAACAGAGGTGATTAAGGATGAATCGATACACGAGGATGAATGAAGGCGCCATGCAGAAATGGGGTGGCTGATGGCTTTAACAAATCCGATGTAAGTGCCTGGAAGTTAGGTTTGTGTCAGCTGGGAAAATCACCAAGCAGGCATTTTTGTCTCCAGTAGCAGGCTTTTCTGCCTTTGCATGTCATATTTGTGAGGTAGCTGTCACCCGCTCTGCCTGACCCAGCACAGATTTTCAACAGCAGATAGTGAGTCTGACACCAATGGCAGCCTCACTAAGCTCCTGCTCACTTTTGGCACAATGTTGTGTGTTAAGTTTCCTTTCTCGGGGAATCCTTTTACATATGTGAAAACCTAGAAGAATAAACAAGGTAGCAGTGTGTGTGTGTGTGTGTGTGTGTGTGTGTGTGTGTGTGTGTGAAAACCTAGTAGAATAAACAAGGTAGCAGAGTGTGTGTGTGTGTGTGTGTGTGTGTGTGTGTGTGTGTGTGAGTTCTCCTTTTCCTGTTCTGCTGCTGATCTCTGGTTAAAGTTGGGAGCCACAGAAGAGTAGGTAACCAAGGATCACCTCGCCACCTCCCTCTTCTGTGGCACATGGTGCTGTGTCCTCACCCAGTGACTTTACCTGCGACTTTGCTTCTTCTCCTTTGAGCTTGACACAGGGGCTCAGCCTTAGGTTCGGGATCTCTTGGTCATTCTGCTTTTGAGACTCAAGGCACTTGTGCCTCTGCCGGATGTTGCCCTTCTGGATGGAGGAATCCTGTGGGACACTGGAGGAAAGCCACAGGGAGAGATGAAAGCTACTACTCTCAGGATCCACAAACACTCGCGGCTGGAGAGGTTGGGGATATGTTTTGAGAACGGCAGGACCATCTCCCCCTGCTGTCACAAAGACAAGCACTGCTCAGAAAAGGGGAGGATGCCAGCAGGTGTGAGAGAGCCCAAGGAACTCACAGGAGCTACAGCTGGAGAGCCAGTATCAGCAAGCCCATGCTCTCAGGACAATACCCAGGACACCAGTCCCAAGAGCTGAGCAATACCGCAATTGGCTACTCTCAGTCCCTCCTGCTGCTAATTTGATAGAATTCCCCTTCCAGCTTTAGAATTAAGGGGAGCCAACTTGTCTTCTTGGTCTTCCATGGACTTAGAACCCTCATCCAGCTGTGTCTGCCCACACCCCCAAGCCAGTTGCAGGCTTTCTCTGGGACAAGCCAAGGCTCCAGCAGAAGGGGTACCTGAGCTCTGGGTAGACGTTCTCCAGGTACCACTTAAAGCTCTGGCACTGCAGATTCCTCCTCAGATTCAGCCTGCTCTCAATGCTGGGGGTGACAAAGACAAATCAGCCATCAGAGGCAGAACCATGACAGCGACCCAGACTGAGGTGCACAAGGCGCGACTGGTGCCCACACACCATGCCCACGTGTCTCCAGAGGGAGCTGGGGAAATGAAGGAAGCAGAGATTTCTATAGCTCCAGAAAGAGCTATGGAAACATCTAGCAATATCTCACGATGGGATGGTGATGACACTGAGGACTTGTGTTTTTATTTGAAAATGGAATTTGGGGGTGTTTTTACTTTTCATTAAAAACAAAGCTGCAGGAACTTTCAGCATATTGTTAATAACTCACTGCCAGAGCTCTGGGTCTACTTACTCACAATCTCTCTACGGATTCTGCAGGTGAAGTACCACTGCCCATTGCCACAGCCCCAGAGAATTCTCTTCCTTGGCTGGTGCTGGGGTGTCTGGTCATGTATTTATTTTGCAAATATTCTGAGTACCTACTGTGTGTCAGGCATTATACCTCATGTGCCATGGAAAGCTTTGAGGCAGTAGAACAAGGCAGTGAAACAAGCATCAGAGCCCCATGTGGCATAGGGTGGATGGAGGGGACTTTGGGGACCCCCAGAAGTGAACCTTTGCCCGTCTAGTCTACGATGGCTAAGACAGTAATGTGATGGCAGTATCTAGAAAGAACAGTGGATACCACAGACCAGTGATTGTGAACCCCTTACAGCTTTCAGTGATACAAATAGCCCACTATGGCATGTGTGCCAAAGGTTCACCACCACTACCACAGACAAACCAGAGAGCACATGAGGTCGGGGCCCTACTACACGTGGGGAGCAGGCAAGACAGACTTGAAAATAGATGTGCATGTGAATGATAGGAGGGAGGAGAAGAGTAGGAGGGATGGGAGCAGGGACAGTGCATCAAGGGTCATGAGGCACCACTGAGCTACCTAGACTTCACCTGAAGGGCACTGGGACGAAACTGGTGGGCTCTAAGAGGGGTATGATGTGCTGATGTTTGGATGTCTGTGTTGATTTGGGAATGGGCCTGATGGGACAGAGCTAGGAACAGGAAGGACAGAAACGAGGCCACTATGGAACCCAGGTGCCAATCATTCCTCCATTAGGGAAGTAGGGGAGGGGATGGAGATCAACAGCATCAATCCTCCACTTCCCTCAATCTGCACTGCCTGAAACGATCTAAGCCATTCAGACTTTGTCTTTCTGCGAGGCCAACACGACCAGCCCTGCCTCCTGTCCAGCCTCCCCTCCTTCTTCTCTTGGCCTCAGCTCCAAGACTGCACCAGAATTTATAACAGAGCACAGACTATACCTCCTCTGCAGCATCAGCTCCTCTGGGACAGGATGGGCAGGTTTTTAGTGCACGCAGTGCTGGATGTTCAGCAAGGGCCTGGTGCTCGGCGTGTGAATGACACAGCACTGATGCCGTAGAGGAAGGGAGGGAAGGGACAAGGTGACACCTAGATTTCTGATTTGGCCGACAGGATGCAGAGAAGGCTGTTCATGGAGATAGGGAGTATGGAAAGAAGTGCAGATGGAGGAGCAAACTTCATGAGTTCAGTTTAGGACTCGTGGTCTGGGAGGCATCCTGGTGGAGGTGTCTGGTTGCTACTTGGATAAGGGCCTAGAGCTCAGAGGACAGGTTCTGGTTAGAAACAGATCTGCAAGTATGGGTAGCACAGAGGTTGCAGTCAGGGCCAGTGATGCATAGTAAGAGGATGGAAAGGGTGGGAAGAAGAAACCAAGTCTACAAATGAAGCCGAAAGATGGAGCCTCGTAGCAGATACTGCAACACTCTGGGGGCTTTCGGGCTGAGGGGACACACCACAGTGGGGCTGAGGAAGGGGTGGGGAGCAGCCCAGGAGAACCGGGAGTGCAGCAGTCCAGGCTCAGCCAGGAGGGAGCAGCCACCGGAGATGGGGTTGACAGCAAGACAGACTTCTGCTTCCTGAAATTGGGCTGTGCACTGGCTGAAAACCGGTGCGTGCTGAGCAATGCTGGACTGAGGAGGGTATTTAGTTTGTTTTCTTTCCTCCACAGACACTGAGTAAGTGTAAATGTGGGTGGAAATGACAGAGCACAGGACAGATGAGATCGGAGAGAGAGCAGAGGCGCCTGGAGACAAGTCCCAGCTGCACACTGGAACCGTGGCTGTGGCGGGAATGGATCTTTTACAAATTGCACAGCCTGGGTCCCTCAGACCAAGTCCATCAGCCCTGTGAGACAGAAGCCCAGGTATAAGCAGTTCTGAAGCTCCTCAGAAAATTCCACTTATAACCTTGTTTGGGAATGTTCCCCAAGAACCCTGTTCTACAAATTGGGGTCCTCAGCTCAGCAACGTATCACCTGAGGGCTTATTAGAAACGCAGACCTCTAGAATCAGGTTCTGCATCTTAGTGTGATCCTTGGGAGATCTGTGCACACATCAAAACCTGAACGGCCCTGCACTAGGATTCAGAAGATGAATCCAGACCGTGGGAACCGGAGAGATGTTGATTTATGAGTGAGTGTGGGCATGAATGGAACATTGAGAGTGCAGGTGGAGGGCTGGCCTACCACTGCAGGAAGTACACCTGTCCCCTGAGACCAAAGAGACCAAGAAGGATGATGCAGATGCAGTAAAGCTAATGGGTTGGTTTGTCTTGGGAAATCGATGTCTATTTCATCTGTAAAACAGGTGTCATTTGCTGGCAGAGAAAGGAGAGGGTGGACTCCAGGGTGGGGGAGAGAAAAAGGCTTACTAAAGGTGGAGGACAGGCCTGGCTGAGACTGATGGCTGCAAAGCATGGTCAGTAGCAGCAGCTGGTGTTTCCATTACCAGTCAGCAGCCTAGGCACAGGGGAAGAAGAGGTACAAAGTCGGGCTTCTCCAGTCAGGGTGAGGAAATGTGGAGGCTAAGGAGGGATTGCCAGATGGAAAACAGGACAGAAGTTCCGAGGACAAGATCTTCTAAGGTCTTTCAGTCCAATTATTTAAATACAGGATGATCAAAAATTGCATAGTTTTAAACTTATTTTATATGATAACATACCAGGATATACAAAAAGTGATAATTTTATCATTCATTCAATACAAGAATGACTGACTGAAACAACGTCTGCCCAATAGTCAGTACATAAACAAATGCACTGCCTGAGTGACATTCAGGGTGAAGTGATAAGCACATAAGAAGAAGTTGGGGGCCGTGGCCAGTGGACCAGAAGTCCTGATGGGAATGAGAGTTAGAGAACTGGACGACCAGCAGAGACTGCACGTGAGTTCACAGGTTCACGCCATTTTGGCTGCTCCTGACATAATCCTTCTGTGCAGTGATAAGCCTGATTTAGGAAGTTGAAAGCCCATCTATTCAACAGCCTTCATGAGACTAGTGAGTAATATTAGTAGGACAAAAAGCCATTGGTTGTCCCCCTCCAAAAGAAATGACAGCAAACGAAGTTGCTATTTTTCTCTATTCCAATCAACTCCAAGTTGGGGAATGCAAGGCCACACAGTTTTGCAATCAGGCAGGTGTGGTCTGATCTTCCATTCTCTTACAGCAGTGTGATCCATCTCAGATATTTTCACTTGCACAAGCCTTGGTTTCCTGACCTGTCAAACAGGGGTAACTAGGGCCACTTCTTGGATCTGAGGGCAGATTAATGAGATGCTTCATGTAATGCTATTTAGCCTTTAAACATATTTTGCCCTTTCTTTTCTCCCATAAAGCTTGGGCATTGCTGGAGGGGACATGTACGTGCACATTGCTCCTCTAGGGAAGGAGGGGGAGCTTAGGCTTAGGCAAATAGAAGTAAAGAGAACTCTGACCTGGAGGGACCAGTCTCATATCTTTTCTGCAAAGAGCTGGAAATATTGGTGAATTGTGCAAGGCCCAGCTCAGCTCCTCCTAAAGACTTGGCAGCCCGGGTGGCAGAGGATCCCTGCACAACCAGGACAGGGCAGAGCACTGAGGAATATGGAAGAAGAGCAGCCATAACCCCAGGCCTAGGGGAGCTTGCAGGCTCAGGGAAATCAGCTAGGCTGGGAGGTCAGCTAAGGGCCCAGGCCCTTCTTGTCTCTCTGCCCTTCTCAACCTGCATGACACTTACTTTCCAAAAGGCCTCTCCAGGGCAAAAGGCCGGGCAGCATAGTAGTATTGCTTGTATTCATCCATCCACACTTCGGCTGTCCGCTTGGTGTTCCTGGGAGACAGGGGTGTCAGGAAGCGGATATCTGGGAGAACCTCTGACGTACCCAGATGAAATATACACTGGCAAAACTGGCGGTGGGGCAGGGGGATCATGATGGAGCCATTATCATTGCTGTTCCCAGGGTGCTGAGCCCAGCAAAACACCCTTATCTCCAAATGCATCTTTACCCCAACCAACACACAGGATTTTAGTAGTAGCAACAACCTTTCCCTAAAAGGTACTGATCAGAAACTGAACTTCTGTGTCTCTGAGCTATAGAAAAGATCCAGGAGAAGCAGGTACATTGGCTTGTCACCAATAACTCAGAGAACAAAGGCAAACAAACCCTGCTGCTCTGGACCAGTCCAGCCTGGGTTCTTTGGACTTTTGCTCCATGATTCTCCCCTTTATCACAGGGGCCATGCTGCAGCCCACCTCTTCAGGGGGAAGTCAGCGCATGTGCAGGCCAAGCAAGGAGCTTGGTGCTGGTATAAAGCATCGGTAATCAAGGCATTTCCTTTCATCCTTCAGCCTTTTGCTAGCATTCTAGTGTTTTCATCAGATAGTTACTGTATGTCTGACTCCAAAGGTCACAGAAAAGGGGACAAGAGAGACAGAGAGACAGAGAGACAGAAAGACAGAGGATATCACTCGGCAACCTGGGGGCAGAGACTCTAGGAAAAGCTCCAGAATCCAGAGAAAAAGAGATCAACAATCAGGTAGCAGTGGCCTTGGCAATCCCAGCACCTGTGAAGCCCATGAATGTAAACTTCGGGTTTAACATTTTAACATGGTTACATGGACGAGAGCATGCTCCTCCAGATTCTAGTTCTGTTTTGGAGAAAGGCAAGCATCTTCCCAGGAGGCACCTCAAATAACAGTTATGCACAGACAGACCCATTCTGGTTAGCATGTCTTGCTGCCCCTTCCAGGGCCAACCATCAGGAAACTAGAAGCTGCTTTGTATCAGTGCCATATTCCCTAACCATGGGAAGTCCAAAGAACCCCAACCATATTCCCTAAATGGCCCACTGCTGGGTGCAGGATGCCCAAGGCCAAGGTACACCCCCACCCCAGCCCCATTTTCCTAGACTAGTTCCTTGCAAGTGGCTACAGGGCCCCTACACAGCTTACTATGCCAGATGCCCCCAGCCTACTTTTGCATTTCAAGAGGCTAAGACCTGGTGCTCCCTGGATGGCTGATTTTTCTCACTATCCCACACTTGCACACAACATCTTTACAGAAAGTGTTATTCATTTTCCCATTCTCAAACTCATGCCTCCTCTGAGATGGCTGTGTCAGGATGTGATACACAACTGTTCGTATGTGTGAAAAATAGGAAGGAAGAGCATAGAGGACAATGACACCCCAAATGAAGAATGCCACCGAAGCAGTATGTAGCTCTCTTTTCCCAAATGGACCAAAACACAGGAAAAAAGGAAGAGAGGATTAGATGGATGCTAAGAGATAAGAGGGTCAAGGAAAGGGAGAGAAGCAAGAGGAAAAGATGGAGAAAGGGGGGAATGAATATATTATATATATATAGTTATATATAACTATATATAATATAATAACTATATATAACTATATATAGTTTATATATAATACATACATATACAGTTTTACAAGCAGGTTAAAAGAGAAATGAAGGAAAGGAGAAGGTATATGAAGGTAGGGAGAAAGGCCAGGCAAGTGGGCACCATCAGATCACTGAGTCCCAGTACCTTATGGAGTAGGCATACTGTCCCCAGGTAGGAGCAGAAAATGCCTGGGATAGAAACCAGGATCTCAGGATGCGCTTAGCATGGACCCTTCTGGCTCATGGTTGAGGCCCTGGAGCAGAAACATAGAGGCATGCTTCATGCTGTCCTATTCCTACTTCTTCCCAGGGATCTTCCCCAGGTGAAGCTGCCTGAAGATAACAGTAGATCTAGAATGCAGAGTAAAAAACACTACCCTTCCTATATCCCATGCAACCACAAATACTGGAGCCTAAGCCCTGCAGAATGGCACTGACTTGACATCCTAAGGCCATGCAGGGAACCTTGTCAAGCCTCAAGGATGCATCAGAAAAGCCTTGGCCCTAAAGGTGGATTTCCAGGCAGAGTCCAGAGAGCAGCCACACAGCTGCTGCCCACACTGGCTGAGCCCCGGATAGGCACACTTACTTTATGTATGTGTTGGCGTTTCCATCAGGGAAAACATACGGGTGCTTCTTCCGGAAGACGTGTCCCACGCGGCTGCAGGGAACAATCTCCAGGCTGCCCCCACACATCCACACACGGAAGGAGATTTCTGTAAGACAGACACACTGTGGGTCTGAGGCACTGGGTGGCAGGCACACCAAGCCAAGCCACTATGGGTGGCTAAGAACAGATCGTGTGCTCCTCTGGCTGGGAACACACCTATGTGAGGATGACAGTGCTCACAATTCCGAGGTGGTATGAGGTAACACACAGCTAGTAGTGGCACACTGGCATAGATTCAGTGTTCAGCGTGGCTGGGCAGCAGGTTTTACAGGGGTGATTTTGCCTGGAGAAGGAAGGTCTTGAGAGCAATAAGAGTTGCTTAGGAATGTGCAGACAGTTTCAGTATGGAAAATAAAGAGTCACTTCTTATCACTGCAGGTGGTTATCACCAAGACCCTGGAGAAAGGAGTTCCATGTAAGACCAAGGGAGAGTTTTCTGCCATGAGCAGACTTGGGACAGGCTGGAACACTGTATCACGAGGATGTACCCAAGAGCCCTAAGCCTCCAGAAGACACCTGGAGAAGGTGCTCGTGACACTCCCTCCAGGCACTGGACAAGGGCAGCCTGAACAGCCCATGAGGAGGGAATCTGAGCAGTAATCAAGAACTGAGAGCACCTGCAGAAAATGCAGGAAGCTGCAAAGCTCTCTCTGGGGGTGCTCCTGAGGTAGGGGTCGTGAACACACACCCATTTCTCCCTCCTGGGGGGTTGCTGCTGTGGAGACCTCAGAGCAATGGAGGGGGTAAAGTTAGCAGATCCATGTATTTCTCCATGCTGGGGATTCCTCAGAAGCAGGCGCCAAGCAAGCCTCTGCCCCAGCACGAAGCAGTGGCACACTGAAGGGGCGGGGAAGCATTTCCTCATTGCCACTGTTAAGAACTGGCGGTATATGGTGATACTTTTTTGAAATGCAGAATGACCATTAGACAGTTATATTATTGCTTTAAAATTCTCTGCAGATAATGTAGAGACTGCACTCAGGGCTAGCTGCCCCCCGCAACCACTGGGAAGTGAGCCAGGGAGCCAGAAGCAGGTAGTGAGATACAAGTATTCCAGGGCCTTCCTACCACAGGCCTGTTCCCTCCAGTAACCTTTGCCCCAACTCCTGGCCTCCCCAGATTCCTCATCACTGTGCTTCTCTCATCTGCTCTGTCTCCCTTCCTTCCCTGTACCCCCTCATCCCAACTCTCCAAGCAGGGCTCCACCCTTGAATCTTCATCTTGATCCTCACCTGCTCCCACTCACATGTCCTCAGCCACTCTCCTGGACAAGCTGAAGCTCCTTCCCAGGAACACGCACAGAAAGGAAACAGGAAGAACTTAGCTTTGGGTTCAGCAGAGCAAAGTTTGCAGAAACTTACTACCTGGGTCCCTGGGGAACCTGCTTCAGCAGGTAGAGGCTGGATTTCCCTGTGTGCCAAACAAAGATTATGAAAATACTCCTCAAGAGTGCCACCATGAAATGAAACAGCTCTGAGGGGGGCTGTATAAACTCTAAACATGATCGGAAGCTCACTGGCGGGACTTATGTGATGCTTTTCTGAAGCCAGTTTCTTTAAAAGTTGGACCCTGATAAGCATTGCCTACTTCTTATACTATGCACAGCTGCCTCCTAGTTCCCTTCTTCTGCTGCACCGCAGGACACCCTTGAACTTGGTGGACTCAACATCTGAGACTATGACTCTCCATAAAGGTCCATGATTCAAAGTGGGGTAGCACTTGGCTGGGGCTTAGTCTTGTGCCTACAGCTTGGTGTTACATGAGTCGCTGTGCAAGGAGTGGCTTAGCCGAATGCCCAACACCCACATCTCCATCCGCAGATGAGTCCCTCCATCCCAAGGGACTTCAGCACACGTGTGACTCAGTCTCAGGATGGCTGCCTTCACTCGTGTGTGAGCCAATCCACTCCTCTCCAGGGACTCCAAACACACTCTGCTCCACTTCCTGAAAAGGAAACTCCTCTAATCCCCGCAAACCAGAGATGGGAGGCTTGCTTACTAGATATAAACTGTGCACCCTGCGCCAGCTTTCCTGCTAAAGATATGCATGTGCTTTAGCTACCGTATCTTGCTATCCATGCATTCAAATGAGACATATGTCCCACATCATTTGCAAAGCAAATCCTTCCAACCTGGGCTTCAACTATCTTCCCAAGCCCTGCAAGCTGACGCTCTCTATGTTGCCTTTGTCCAGCATTTTGCCTCATTCTGAATCCACAGACCTCCCCCTCCCCCATCACAGTCCTGGCACAGGACCCCTGCTGTCATCTGGCCCTGGCTCTTTTCCATCTTCCTTTGCTGTGCTGGTTTTCTTCCCCTACACCGTGAGGTTCTATCTTTGAATGACTTCCTGACATTGCTTCCTCATCTGATCACAGGGATTCACTGTGAAGAGTCCCCTCAATCCACCCACCTCACCTCTCCCAGGCCACCAGTGCCCACATCTGGGAGCTGTCTGACAGTGAGTCGGTAGGAGGTGAAGCCTATCTGAACTCGAAAATTCAGGCTCTGACCTCAAACCACCTGCCTCAACAAGAATATCTGCAACTGGCCAGTGCAGCTGTGGATGCAAAGACACTGACTTAAAGGAGCTTACAAAGTAACATAAGCGACAAATGAATAACTTGCATTTCTACCTTATCAACTCACTCGCCCAAAACTACAGAATGGCTGTGTTAGTTCTCCTTCAGGTCAGCTGCTCCACCCAGAGGAGCCTGCATCCCAGAGGAATTAAATGTGTCTACTCTGGAGTGCAGACCATCGTAATCAAACTTTCGGGAGGCACATGTCCTGACACGGATCAGGGTACTGCCACTGGAGTCAAGAGGCATGTGGGAGATGCAGCTTGGAGTTTCCCTATTACTGCAGTTATTTATAGGCAGTACAGTGTGGAATATTTAAAACCCAGGATATACGGCTGTCTTGCCCGTATCTGTGCCCCTGACTTCAGGATAAAGATGTGTATCCTCCCAGACTGGCAAGCTAGAGCTGCTGGTTGGCAGAGTTCTGCTGAAGCTTTAGGAAACATCTGTTAATCCCTGCCCTTTCTGAAGGGAGGCCGGAACAAGTGCCTTAAGAACAGTGTGGATGGTGGTGCGAGGCACAGCTGGAGCCTTGCTCTCCAGATCTACAGCCCTGAAGCATCGCCATTTCATCAGTGAAGGAATAGGGAGCAAGGGTCTCTGAGAGGGGAGTATGAAGGAGGTTCTTGCTGAGCCAGCACCCATGCCATCTCCCTAGTCATGAATACCAAGCAAACCCAAGTACACTCTCCATTCCAGGCAGGGAGGTGTGTAATTATTCTACCTCACTGGGGGCCTATGATGGTCTTACGTTCTTTGAACTTCAGATTAATATTTGGGAGCAAATTGCCCTCCTGCCATCCATTCCCTTCTCTTTTTTCCACCTCATCAACCCATCAGCCCTCCTAGGGGCCTCACACCTCACCTGAACAAACACCTACTTGGTGAGCCCATGAATGGCGGGCAGAATTCAGGGGCAAGGAGGCCACTTTCTCCCTGAGAACTACACCATGGCTATTCATATGTTCCAGTCCACTGGGCTGGCCAAGGTTCTAACTTGGTTTTTGTAGCCTGGTTTTTAACTAAGGCAAAGGGCACTATTCCACACAAGAGATTGCTCCATGGAGTCTGTCTTACATGGAGCTCATACAGTACTTACGTATGCATACTGTCTACATAGTAGTATCCATTCTCTCTCTGTCCAAGTTTAAGCCCATTGAGGATAATGGGATTGGAGAGGATGGTGGTGGCAGCAGAAAGAGACAGATTTACTTATTGTGATTGTTCAGTGTACACATGTGTATGTGCAATGGTAATTTTTAAATTCTTAGGGCATACTGTGCCAGGAAATAACCTCTGCACTATGGCTAGAATGTGTATCCCAAAGTGCCTTTGTTGGAAATTTGATCCCCAAAGCAACACTGTTGAGAAGTGAGTCCTTTTAAGAAGTGATAAGGTCATGAGGACTCTGCCCTCATGAATAGAGTGTTAGTGTCTCAGGAATGGGTCAGCTAGCACTGCAGTGAGTTCCTGATAAAGAGTAAGTTCATGATCCTCTCACCCCTGTTATGCATGTTTTCTTGGCCTTCTACCTTCTACCACACGATATAGTAAGAAGTACTTGGACTCGCCAGATATGGGCTCCTTGACCTTGGACTTCCCAGCCTCCACACTGTAAGAAATAAGTCTCTGCTCTCTACATCTTAGTCTGGCATTCCCTTACAGTAGCATAAAATTGGCTAAGACATTCTGCTATTATTCCTTAATGAATGCAAGAACTTGTCTAGAGATAATCTTATCGGTCCACAAAAGACTGACTTGAATCTGAATAAAATTGCTTTTCACCCACAACTGGGGCAATCAAGACTACATCCAGGACCCTGTTTCTGGACAATCATTAACCACAGGCACCACTGACTAGATAGATGGCTGACTGCAAATGTCAGTGGTACCTGCTTCTACCAGGGTCCTCTGGGATGAAACTCAGTGAGACCTGGGGAGAGTGGGGAGCAGCGGCAGAGGTGTCCCTGTGGGAATGCACCTGGGTATGGGTTTAGCCGAGTAGCTCAGACAGGAATGGAGCACTGGGCAGCTTTTGCTTACTCTCTCCATCTAAGGGAAAGGTGATGTTTCATCCGACTTGGTGTTCTTCCTAGATGAGGCCACTTCCCTAATCCTGAGGCACAGAGCGCAGAAAACATGAGGCCAAAAGTAGGTGGAATAAACCATCCTGGCAGGTAGGACATAACTGTTTTTAAGGGATGCTGTTCCCATCCAGTCTGCAAGGGAAGGCAGCCAGCCCTGCCAGAGCAGAGGCACCTGCATCGGCTGTCTCACAGCCTTGTAATACGTGATGTGATCAATGTCTAGTGCTGCTGTAATGAACTGCCACAAACTTCACGGGTTTGCTTGAGTCCTCAGCTCAGGGCCTCACAAGGTGAAATCAAGATGTTAGTGGACCACGCTCCTTTCTGGAAGCCCAGTTTGTTTGTAGAACTGAGTTCTTAGAGCAGTAGGACCGTGGC